GTGTGTGTGTGTGTGTGTGTGTGTGTGTGTGTGTGTGTGTGGTGCGGCCCCAGTTTCAAAGGGCACAACGGCGGGAAGCGCGTGATCTCCTCCCCGCGGCCGGCGTGATCGCCTGCCCGCCTTTCCGCTGGTGGACGCGGCTGCTGCCAAACCCCAAAAGGGCGGCGCGTGACCAACCTCGCCCCATCCCATGCCCGTCCCCCTTTCTTTGCGCCGAGCGCCAATGCGGCCGCACCTGGGGGTCGATGCACAGCGGCCAGCGGTTGGCGCGCGTTGTGAGGATGCCGTTCTGCACGCTGAGCTCGTCCCCCGGCAGCCCCTCTCCTGCCCACTGCGCCACCTCCACGTCTGACGTCAGCAGCGCCTCCAGGCGCAGCGGCGCGGTCAGGGGGAGGGCGCGGCTGGCGGCGTCGGGGGCCCAGGTGTCGCGCAGCATGGACTGGCGGTAATCGAACGTGAAGGCACCTTCCGAAGTCCAATTTTGTTTATGTGAGAGGGGGATGAAAAGGGTTTATGTGGGTTGGAATGGGAGAGAGGGGAAACGGGTGAGGGCTTGGCAGGGGGTTGTAAAGGGGAGGCTGGGTTGAATCAACCAGGTCATTGTGGTCAACTAGGCTGGCAGCAGCGAAACAGTAGTACAAGCATCCATCAGCTGCTACCCTCACGGCGAAATGAAGTCACGTCTCACCACAATAGGATAGGAACGAAGCGCAGAGGAGGCAGTCCCCGACCAGCTTTTCGCGTGCGACCGCGAGCTGCGCCACGTCAGCGCCCCAGCGTGCCCGCTCGCTGCCCAGCCCCGAGATAAGCCGCTCAGCCGCGTTAAGGCGGCGCTCCATGACCTGCACCCCATGCCGCAAGTTAGACAGAGCATCCATCAGCCCTCAGGCGCCATACGTTTCAGAGTCGTTCCAACTATGGCCGCCTGCCAAAAGCGAAACAGCCCCTGTTCACCGGGTGCCGAACCGTGACAGGGGCTCCCCTCTGGCGCCTGCCACCGACCCCGCTGTGAGCTCCCACCTCTGCTTTTGCCTTGAGGTCGAGCTGCTCTGCCGTTTTTGTGGAGAACTGGTCCCGCAGGGCCGCAAGCTGCCGGTTCAGCTCCGCCAGGCGCTCCTTGGTCTCTATCAAGTCCTTCTGCGCCAGGCGCAGGCTCTTCTCCGCCTCAGCTACCTGGGATCACAGATGAAATTGTGCGGGCAGTTTCCAGGGAGTTGTTGCGGCATAGGCATCATCACAAGTCAAGATATGACTGGAGAGTCGGTAAGATCATGGCAGAACCTTCCAAGCACAAGGAGCTGGTTGCCCACCTTCTTGCGCTTTGGCTCTACGCCCCTCGCAACGCCAAAGTAGTTGACCATGGCAAGCACCCATTTCAGCAGGCCTGGGGTGAGGGCAGGGGTGGCAGATCCGGCATGGGGTGCGCATTAGGTTGCATGGGGCAGAGCTTTTCGGTGTCAGCTTCAATCTGCGTGTTTGCGCTTAGCCGTACCCTGGGACTTGACAGCTCACCTGCGCCTGCAGTGGAGATATTCTTGATGTTGTCGAGGGTGAAGGCCGGATCCTTCATGTAATCACCCTTGACTCGCTTGACCTGCATATGGGTCGGTGGTTGATCGATGTGGGTAGCACGCGTGTGCCGCGAACTGTGCGCACGGATACGGTTGCAGACTCGGTCACACATTGGGTGTGGCTGGTGCCAATGCTGCTGCAGCCAGCTGCGTTCTGCATTGCGAGCGGCCCCAGACTTGGATTGCAGCCACATTCGCCCGCCGTTGGCGAACCCATTCGCTCATGCCCGCCTCACGCTACCTCTCACTCCCCCCCCATCCCTCCCCACCCCTCCCCATCGGCTGCCTGCCTGCTTGTCGCTGAGGCCATCCTTATCAAAGTCCACCAGGGACTTGAGGAAGGAGGGGTCAGCCATCATGGACTTGGCGCCGGCCCACGACACGTCCTTCAGGTTGCGCAGGATCACCACACACTCGCACACCTGGGGGCCGAGGAGGTTTGTGAACCTCAAGCGGGTCAGACACACCCTAGCCAGTTTCAACCTGCCAGCGTAATTGACAGCACAAAGGTCAGGGCAAACACAAAATAAGACACGCAGCTGCTGATTGCAGGGTGTGCAGCCGTCCCAGCTAGCGCCCCCCTCCCACACACGCACGCACCTTTTGCACGAGGATGTGCGGCTTTGCGAAGGACCTGATCTCGGTGATGTCATCGCGCTTCAAGTCGTTGAGTGCTGCGGCGGCCTCCTCCAACGCAGGAATCGCCTCCGACAGCGCTTGCTCTGCCTCGACTTTCTCGACCTGCCAGGTTTGCAGTAATCGTATGTGGCAGTCAGAAATGTATGTCATGACCAACCAGTTCGTGGGTGGACTGTTAGCAGCTGTGTAAACACAGGTCATGGCTGCATGTGGGACGACATACCCTTGGAGCCTCACAAGATCGAACGGCCCCTCCCTGCTGCCTCACATACATGCCGACAAGCAGTGCAAGGCTGTGAGGCACTCACCGCAATCTGTGCCGACTGCTCTTTCAAGGCCTCTTCCTTTTCTTGTGCCGCCTTCTGGCGAGTCTCGGCGTCGGATGTATTTGAGGCAATCACCTGCCAGGTGCGACAGTGTGAAAATCGGTGAGAACTTGCCAACACCAGGGCCGCTGTGCGACATGCACGACGCATTGTACAATCAGTCGTCTCAAGGGCCTGCATGCAGTCCGCCAGATGCCGACCTGGAGCAGTTGATTGCACTCCTCAGTAGCACCCTTGACCACGACGCGGGCCTGGCTGAGCTCCTTTTGCAGAGCATCAACCTCTGTGGCAGCCTGCTCCAGCTTTGACAGGCCACCTTGGGCGTTGGAGCGGGAGACACAAAGCCAATGGCAGGGGGAAATTCAGACATTGGCAACTGATGAGTCTGCGACGCGAATATCTGCAGCATGCGCAGCTTTGATATCCAAGGAGGCAAGAGGCATCGCATGCCCCAACACAATTGCATGCCGTGTGCATCCGTTGAACCGAGCTGCACCTGACAGCCTGGTGGCCATCTCCTCGTTACTGCAGCGCTGGCCCTGCAGCAGGCGCCGGTACGTGGAGATGTAGTCCAGGTAGTTCTTTGGCTGGGGGGGCCGAACCATACAGTGAAAGTGAGAGAGGAAGTGTTGCGGCTGAGCCAGGGCGGCGTGAGGATGAGGTGTGATTTGGCATGGGCCGGCCTGGCATGGCTTGCCGGCGTTGCCGGTACCCAGCGTTGCAGAGGCGAACCAACAAGCAATCATGCGCAACATCACGTACCCCCCCCCATTCCAGTTACGGAAGGCCCCCAAGGCGGGGTCGGGGGTGCTCAGGGAGGGGGTGGTGGGTCCTGCTGACTCACTGTGACGTAGTTGTGGCGCCGCAGCTGGGCCTCGAACTTTGAGCTGAACTGCCTGACGCCCTGGTGCACGCCCACCATGTGCTCCACGATCCCGGCCCTGAGGGCGGCCGGCAGATCCTCCTCTGACAAGAACACAGTTGCGACGCTGTGCAGAGCCTGTTTTGGGGGGGGGATTGCATACTTGTAGATACACCCGCACCAGATTGCAAAGCGGCCGGCCCTGACACCTTGCAGTCGAGCCAAGTCCGGGGCTGGGAAGGCTGGGCACCGGCAGGCCGTTCCTTGCGAGGCACACACCTGCTCTGGCCAGGGCTCAAACCAGTCAATAACGGTGTTGTTGACCAGTCCAGGGAAGTTCCTGCGTTGGCAGGGCGCGCAGTGATGTGTCGGTCGGCGGTGGAATGTCGAGTGCTCAGCCGGTCACATCAGCAGGACGGGGACCAAGCAGGCAGCCTGCTGATAAGCCAGGCATAGGCTGCACGCAAGCCTGCTGAAAGTCTGGTATAGGCTGCACCAGGCCAGCCCTCTCCGCCCCCCACAAAAAAACGTGTGCATCCACGCCCCCACCTGCACCGAGTCCTCAGGGCCTCCCCGACTGGGCTCATCGCCAGCACCACGTGCAGGTTGTCGCGGCACTTCTGGACGAAGTAGCGCCACAGGCCCTCGCGGCTGTCGTCCAGGCCGCGCGCGGCGACTTCGTCGCGGCAGCCGGAGGCGAGGGCGTCCTTTTCGCCGTCATCATAGAGCGCCGGGACCATGCCTAACGGCGGGGGAGTTGGCAGCGACGCGCAGCTTTATGTCGCACCTTTGACGCTCAACCCTCCCCCAACATCAGGGAATCCGGACGCCGGCCCGAGCCTGCACAGTGCTCTTGATGAGTGGGCAGTCATACTCCAAAGCAGGGATGATGCGCGGCCCCCACGATTCCGGCAACCCCGACGCCCGGGCCCCGCTGACCGCTGGTAAGCATGTTGTTGACGAGCTCTAGGAACGACTCATCGGCCACGTGGGCGTCGGTGAAGAGGAACACCACGCGCTTGTTGTCGGCGCCCAGCAGCGCGTACAGGCGCTTGAGGTCCTCGCGGAACGCCGCCTCGTCGTAGCCGCGCGTGAGGGTGATCTCAAACACCTGGGGGCAAGCGTTGCATCGCAAGGGTGTGAGACAGGGGGCGTGCTTTTTTGGTCAGTGTGCAGTTTGGCGGCGAGGAAGTGTCCTGCATCCTGCACAAACAAAGTGGATGCCTGATCAACTTGATGAGGCCTTCTTTCAGCAAGTCCTGAAAGCAGACGCTTCCAGGGTGTTCACAGCACAACTTAACCCCTCTATCAAATCGCACCGCCACCCGCACCCGCGCCGACATCCACTATGCCCCACGCCGCGTGTCGTGGCCCGCCCACCTGCGCCCCGATCGCGTACGCCGCCAGCCGCGCCAGGCTGCTCTTCCCGCTGCCGCCGACGCCGACCAGCAGGCAGTTGCCCTGCGGCAGCGCCACCGTCCGGCAGATGCGCGTGAGGTGCTCCAAGGCGTCGTCGAAGAAGACCAGCTGCATCTTCTTCGCAGCGCGCTCGTTGTACGCCGCCAGCAGCCGCTCGAACAGCGGCTTCACGTCCGCGTAGCCCCCCACGTCCTCGTACGGCCGCGCCGCCGCCGCCGCCGCCGCCCGGTCGCCCGACGACGACGCGCGGCGCGCCGCGGCCGCGATCGCCTCGCCGG